GGAATGAGCTGCCCAAGAAGGTCATGTTATTAACAGTAGGCTTTACCATAAATAAGAAAAAAATGTTTACATGGTAAGCCATAGAAATTTTAGGACTTTTCATTTGCTTATTCATATGACTATTTGAATTATCACAACAGAGCCTAGTTTATTGTGACCATAACAGCCTAAAGGAGTGTCTGACACAAAACAGAAGCTCAATAAATAATTACAGAACGAATAAATGAATGGAAAGATGAGTAGTTAATATAAATACAAAACAACACGTAAGCAAGTATACCACAGCAGTGAAGAACTTGGACTGGGGAACTTCTGCCAGAGTTTGTACTCAAATTCTGCCAACTTACTAGCTGGGTGACCCAAGGCAACTTACTTAACTATATTTCACTTTCTCCCCAATAGACTCAGTCTAGTAATATCACCTACCTCAAAAGGTTACTTAAGAGTAATGTGAGCTAATGCATTTCAAACATTTGCCAAGACATAAAAAGTGCTTATTAAATGTTTATATCTAAACAAGAAAATGCAAGTAACTTGTCTTCTGCTACATTCTTTATCTAATACCTGAAAAAACTGTCATCAAAAATGAGTCCAAGCTGAACATAATACAGCTTTAGTTAAATTTGATATTTGAAAACACTAAAATTACAGCAGCATTAATCCATTTTCCTCATTAAGACAAAATTATTCACTCCTCTATATCTTACAAAGGGTTTATTTGTCTAAGACTTATTAGCAAAGTGAAATACTACCAACTAATACTTACCACAGTAACCTTGTCTCCACTATTAGTAACTTGCTTATAATAAGGTGATCCTGAGAGCACTCTCCAGGCAGAAAGGCCACAGCTAGAAGCTTTTGACATGCCCGCTTCTGCAGTTTCACAGCCACCAACCAGTAAAAGTCTAAAAAAGAGAAAAATATAAACAACTGATAAACTGCAAATATGAACAAGAGAAAACCAAGAGAGTAGAAATAGTCTCCTTCACAAATAAAACTGAAGTTACTATATATTAAACCTAGAAGGTAAATATTTTAGGGGAAACAACCAAAATAATTTTTTTCATTATAATTTCACCTTCACTTGAACAAAATAAAGATTCAGGCACTTTTAACCCAGATAGGAACTTATAAATGAGAAAAATATGTTTTAAGGTTAGCCATTGAATATCACAGAAACAGTCGGTATCAACAACAATAAGCTTCACTAAACAGATGTGTAGCCTCACTCAGATATACAAGCATTAATTACAGCAGTGTATCTGACGCAACAAGGGCACAGTCACAGAATGCTAGAAAGGACAGCTGGGAGTGCTCAGATAGTTAAGAGCGGCAGAGCAGTAACTGCATAGACAGAAGACTAGGTCACAGTTAAGTGCATATTATGACTGGTTCCCTTTTCTGATTGTTATACTTCATTAACAATGGAGGCCAGTTATCATCAGGGCAAACAACTTAACATACACTAAAAGTTAAAAGGACATTACTATGCAACTACTACAAAAGTGAGCTGATTAATGATGGGCCCCAGACTGTAAGGATTTTTAAAGTCATCTTCAGTACATCAGGCAGGAATCTATATAACAGACATCATATATCAATGACAACAGGCAATCAACATAGCAGAAGAGAGGACCCAGAGATATCTCAATGTTTAAGTTTAAAAAAGATAAAACACAGAACAAGAGAGGGAGGAGAAAGGAGGAGGAATTTGGGGTGCTCTCACTGAATGGGCACAAAGTAGGGGTACTTGGCACATCTTCTGGGTGTAGGACATAACTATAAGAGGGACTCTACCTAACAAATTCAAATGTTGTGACTTGGTTGGTTGTACCCTTACATTAACCTGAAATTAAAAAAAAAAATTTCTCTGCACTTTGGGAACTGCCTACTACCTAAGGGAGAGGCCAAGGAGAGGCTTCCCTGGCCACATCCACATGGTCCTCTCCACACACAAGGGACCACTGTCCCAAATGGCAGAACACAACATCCAACTCCCTTTATATCATAAGTCTCCTTAGTGTTGGTATACCACAAGATTGACTCACTTACATGATTGTGTTAACTAAAGTTTCACAGACCAGTAACCAGCAGAGAGGTATGCCCAAAGGTAGTCAAAAAAACCCTAATATCTGCCTTCTGTTAATTCTGCTCACCTTGTGTGGTGGGCAAAAAATGGCTAACCCAAAGATATGTGGCCTTCTTCCTGGAGCCTCTGGGTATGTAACCTTACACAGATTTAAAGTTGCAGACAGAATTAAGAGTCCATCTAATAGACTGACCTTCATATAGGGAGATCATCTTGGATTATCACAATGTAATCACAAGGATCCTTAAAAGTGGAGGAGGGGTGCAGAAGAGTCAGTATCAGAGAAATACACTGTGAGACTCACTGGCCATTGCTGGTTTTGAAGGTGGAAGGAGCCAGAATCCAAGGAATCTGGGCAGCTTTTAGGAGTTGGCAAAGACAACAAAACAGATTCTCCCCCTGAGCCCAGCTGACACCTTGATTTTAGCCTAGGGAGAGCCATTTCTGATCTCTGACCTCCAGAATTATTAAGATAATAAATTTTCTTGGCTCAGCGCCCGTGGCTCAAGCAGCTAAG